TGTGTGTGTGTGTGTGTGTGTGTGTGTGTGTGTGTGTGTGTGTGTGGAACTGTTCTACATTCCCCCAGTACAGGCAGTTGAAGAGGTCAAAAGAACAAGAGGCTAAGTCAGGTTAATCCTTCCACCACAACTGGGTCTATGTCTACTCTCTGATGGACTCGCTTTGTTCTCAGCCTGTTTTGCTTTTCTATAAATAGTTTGCGGATATCTTAGTTGGTTTTTAAGCACTTGAAGGTGTCAGATGGAAAAAAAACAGGCTAAGGCACACATTAATCCTACCACAACAACTTTGCTCATTTCTAACTTCTGATGGACTTCACTTAATCTTAATTAGGTTTGCTTTTGTAAAACGACAGGTCTGTCGATGACATCCAAGGTTTTTTCCCCTTGATTCACTCCTCAGGGAGAACCTGCATATTGTATTGTTCCAACTCAAGGGCTGAATTTATACCCTGGTATTTTTCTTATAGTGAACTTACCCTGTTTTTCAATAACCCCTTCAACAATTCACAAATGATGCCAGTATTTATTTCTTCTATTGCAGCTTTTACTTTCTTTTTGTCTTCAGAGATGCTTCACTTTCCTGGCCAGCCGTGGCGATGGGGTTACAGAAATGTCCACCAGTCCAGCGGCTTTGCCGTGAGTTTACGCGACATGTCGTGCCGTGAGTCAGTGCAGACAGTCAGCAATCAGTGACGGGCACAGTTTTCTTCTCTGCTAGCTTGACGTTCTGTGTCAGAGGTGGCATGATATCTCACGTCAGCCGTTACCACAGGGTCCCAGAAGTCTATCTATCTATCTATCTATCTGTCTGTCTATCTGTCTATCTATCTATCTATCTATCTATCTATCTATCTACAAACATAGTATATAGTTTGACGTGCCTATAGATTGGTCAGAAGTTTTCCTTTGGTCAAAAGAATTGTTGCGACTTTTGCCATGAGAAATTACTTTTTGTCCAGACTTCCGGGTCAACTAGATCATGTTCTGATTTGTCCTGTTTGAGGTTTGGGACAATGAGATAGACAGACAGACGATACACTGTGTGAAAGCATAATTCTATTGAACTCTCAGCTATAGAAAGAGAAAAACAAGACAAAATATGTTGACAGATATGAAAAAACCCGTTATTTATTGATTTCGTATTGCTTCAAACCAACAACCAAATGAGCAATAAATAATCTTGTCAAAGAATAATCAAGTGTAGAAAAGAATATTTGAAACTGAAAAAAATAAAACAATCACGTGCTTTAGCAGATAAGGCAGACGAATGTTCTCCCATGTCGTCAGTGTCTGGCGAGCAACAGTCTTTTTCTGAAAAACTATCGTGGTTAACTTTTCCTGACCAGACTTTTCTTGGGAGATGTTCAAAGACTGGGACAGAGATTGTAAAACGAGGGTTGTGAGAAGTCAAAAAATTCTTTTTCAGAGAAAACATCGCAATATTCCTTCCATTTGACACCTAACATAATCGCCTGGAAAGATGGTTGAAGACGTCTCTTGATATTACCAAGGAACATTCCAGGCTATGTCGAAATCAGACGACAGCTTAGACGTCGCAAAATTGAGTGACGTCAGAAGTTTTTAAAAATTCATTTTCAGAAAAAAGGTCCCGATAATGATACTAATTTTTGTTAACACACGGGTCGTGTTGGGAGAGGTTCTGTCGCTTCCCCCATCCCTCGGTATAACGAGGATAGCAGGAGACATCTGAGAGTTGACGGAGTGGACAGAGAGGTCAGTAGTCGAAGCTGAAGAGTCCCTGAGTGACCATGTCCACGTAGTACCTACAGGCCCGGGAGTGAGAGTAGCGGGACGTGGTACAGGTGACCAGCAGGTGGCTACAGTCCCGGTTCTCGGTGTACAGCTGGCGGTCCGCTGTGGAGGGGGGAGGTGAAAAAGTTGAGAGAATGAGAGGGGG